TCCCATCCCATGTCCCATTGCCTGTTCCTGCCCCTGCCCAATCCCATGTCCCATCCCCTATCCTGCCCCTGTCCCATCCCCTGTTCCATCTCATGTCCCATCCCCTAACCTGCCCCGGTCCCATCCCCTGTTCTGCCCCTGCCCCTGTCCCTGTCCAGCCTCTGCCTCTTCTCCTGGGGAACAACTTCTAACTGGAAATATCTCCTGAACTACTAGTCTAATGTAATTCCTGACAGTGCCAAACTTTCTCCACAGGAGCAGAGATGGATTTTCAGCCTGTTTCCCCTGGAGGGTTTTTTATACCTGATTCTCTGACACAGATCCCCACACTGGGATGGTACTGCAGGTCCCAAGCTGCCCATAGCTTGTCCCTGGTTGTACAAACCCTGGGAAAGAGGATGTCATGGGGTCAGTGGGATGCACTGAAAGGATGATGCTCCAGAGCAGTCCCAAACAAGAAGCTGCAGCTGTGCCTCTGCCCAGGAACCTCTTGGCATTACAAGAGTAATTGTATCCTGGGGGAAAATTGAGCTTTTCTCCTGATTTGGAGGTTCCAAGCGTGACACAACTCAGGTCCCCAAAACCACAGGATTATTGCCTTTAAAGCTAGCAGAAAAATCTGCACAAACAGGCACAGGTGCAACACAGTGTGTTTGCACTTATCTTTTACACCACACGATCAGTGTGCACAGGGCCATGAAACTTGTATTTGCTTCCTGAATCGTATCAGTCTATTACATTTTCTGATGGATACTGAACTCCTCTGGCATTAGGAAACTGGGGAAAGCAGTGAGCTGGAATTGTCTCTGGTTTGGTGGTTTGCCCAGTGCCCTGGCACCTCTGCTGCACAGGGTTTTACAGGGGAGAGATGTGCCTGGCAGACCTGGGTTAGAGCTGATCTTAACGGCACTTTTGGGGGAGAAAAAAAGAGAAGGTTCGTTTGTGTGGCCTGGAGCTGTTTGTGTTGGCACAGAGATCTGATTCTGTTCAGGGAGAGCAGCTGAGACAGGAAAAGCAGCTCCTGACTTTCATTTTCCACCTGTGGCTGGGGAGGGCTGGAACCCACACACTGCCTCGTGCACCACTCCAGGAGCTGGAGCACTTCTCTAAGCATCTTACTATTCAGTGTTTGAACCTACCCCTCTGGTCAGAGCCCTAAGCAGAGAGAAATAAGGTGCAGTGCTTTGATGATTAAGATATTTCATTGGACAAAAGAGAAAAAGGAGAGGGAAATGAGTTAAAAAATACCTGTGAGGCAAACAGTGTAAGATCTTGGGCTGCAAATATTCAGGGCTCAAGTGAATCCGGTTGAGTTGGTGACATCATCCAGAACTTTCTCTTGTCTGATCCCATTCAGCAAAGCACAACACAAAGCTTTCTCCTAGGAGAGAGAGAGAGAGAGAGCTCAAAGGGTGCAGCATTTGCATTTACAAGTGGTGCAAAGGTAGTTAAGAAGAGAAGGAGATGAATTCCTCAGACCCAGAAATACTACTGGAATATGTCTGGAATACTGAACAAGGAATGTCTCTTCCCTGAGTGCATTTTGCACTGTAAAAGTCACTTCAGGACTGAAGATCTTTCAGCTTCAAATTCTTATGCCACCGAAGCCAAACGCAGCTCCAGGGATTGACACGTCTGTTGGATTTCACTCCTAGGATGGATCATCCCTACAGACTGAATTCAAAGACTTTGCCTCATGTAAATCTTCAAGTCAGCCACAAGCAAAGCATCTGTTCCACCTAAAGGAGGCAGAAACACAGGCCCAGAGCTGGGTGCATCTTTTTCCCCTGAGCTCTCCAGTCTGGTTGCCCATGGCTGGTTAACAGGGGTGGTGCAGACAGAATGGCATGTGTGTTATCACAGCCCTGCAGGACTTATCTCTGTGACTCTCTAATGCCCATTAAACTTCCATCACACAGGTGAGATTCCTGCAGGAAATCAATTTATGAGGGTTTTATTATGTCTACAGACAATGCACTGAGACTGGGCATGTCACTGCAGGGAAAGTGTCACACCCACACTGTCCTCTGCAGCTCCCACCGCTGAGTCTGGGGCTGTAAACTGCTCTGCTCAGCTAAAGCACCACCCAAGTGTTCCAGCACTTCTTCACCGCTGGCCAAAACTGCACTACCAGGCTATATATTTGCTCAGCATATATTTATATCACTTAATGTTACAACCTATAAAATAAATGTAAAAGTCAGAATGAGGCAGCTCATGTTTGCCCAGATAACACCTGGGCAGAGTCCAGGAGGTGGAGGAGGCTGAGGTTGCTCCAGGTAGACAGCTGTGTGGGCCAGGAGGAGCCTCTGGCTTTGTGCCTTGTCTTCCCTTCATGGCCTTGGCTGCAGGATTTGGCCTCCCCTGCACTGCCCTGGCTGCAGCTTTGGTGCTCACTGCTGCTCTTCGCAGCAGTTGACATAACCCATTGAGATATGTTTAATGGGAAAAAAAGTATTGAACCAAACAATAGGAGCAAACCCTTCAATATCAGCCTATCCTGGTCTTGGTAAATATTCCTGCAAATATTCCATCTTATTTTTTGGTATAGAAGTATCTATAAAGTGATAAGACCAGAGAAATTGTCAGTGAACAGTTTGGAGGAGGGAAGAACACTAAGAAAATTCAGCCTGATGTCTTCTCACAGCAGGTGTGCACAATGCCTCTGCTCTGTGCTTCCCCTTACATCCACCTAAGACACTTCTGCTTGATAGTCCAGAGGATTTGGGAAGGAAAATCACAGAATCGTAGAATTTAAGGGTTGGAATGGACCTTACAGATCATCCAGTCCCAACCCCTGCCCTGGGCAGGGACATCTCCACACTAGATCAGGTTGCTCAAGGCTCATCCAGCCTGGATTGAACACCACCAGGGTCAGGGCAGCCACCACGTCCCTGGGCAACCTGTGCCAGTGTCTCACCACCCTCACAGGAAAGAACTTTTTTCTCACATCCAACATAGACTTTCCTTCCTTCAGTTTGAACCCATTGCCCCTTGTCCTGTCACTGACGTTCCTAACACAGAGTCCCACTCTGGCTCCTTGTAGGCCCTTCAGATACTGAAAAGTTGCTCTGAGGTCTCCACACAGTCCTCTCTTCTCCAGGCTGAACAGCCCCAACTTCCTCAGCCTGTCCTCATAGGGGAGATGCTCCAGTCCTCTTATCAACTTCATGGCCTCCTCTGGACTTGCTCCAACAGTTCCATGTCCTTCTTATGCGGAGCACACCAGAACTACATGCAGTATTCCAGGTGGAATAATTGCTGGAAATTCAGCTGGAACTAAAGCAGCAGAGCCAGAACACAGGGTGAATGTCTGACCTCAGCCTGACACTCACTTTAATTCAGATCGCTGAATTTTTTGTCTAGAACCTCCAAGGGATGTTTAGGAAAACCATCACCAAGGTAACAGGGAAACTAATTTTAATATGCTCAGAAGACAAAGCAGAATGCTTTCTCTTAAACAGACTGTCACAACACCCTGCAGAGATCTGGGCAGTGAGATCCAGAGCTGAGAGATGTAAGACCACCAGGATCTCTTCTGTACTCCTCTTGAAGCTCCAATGGTGTAAGCTCCACCCTGCAAAGATGATCAATTCTTACTCAGCTTGATTACTTTAACGAGCAACAGACAACACACCTTGAGTCTCTGTAATGACAGAGCAAATGTCATGGTCAATGTACTTTGGTTTTACACCTCATAAAGGTTTTTATTGTCAGATACACCCAAGAGATTCAAGGTCCAACGACATTCCACAGCATCCTCCAAGAAACATGTCCTGCCCTGGATCCGAGCCCTTTGCTTTGGAAGCTGTGTGTTTCCAGAACAGCCAAGTAGGATAGGTTAATTCTCTGCCTTGAGCCAATACTGGTTAGACTAATGCCTAGCACAGTACCCTAAAACACCTCACAGCTCTGATTCCCTAACATCCCTGGTTGGGTGCACAGAAACCTGAAGGTGCCTCCAACACACAGTTTGATGCCTCCAAAGCTCAGTGTCTCACCAATTTCCTTGCCCCAGGGTAGGAGATCAGCCTGTAGAGCAGCTGCTCTCACTAACACATCCTGTGAGTTCATTGTTCTGACTCCAGCACTGTCAGTGCGATGGCCCAAGGACCTGCACCCACACACTGTCCCAGCACACACCTGCCACCTGCTCTCCTGCAGCACAGCAGCCCCTCAGCAGTCGAGGTCTTCCCTTGCTTCCCATGTTCTCCCTGTTTTTCTGTGTCAGCACAGCCAGCTCAGAAGCCCCACAGGATTAGCAGTAGGATGCTGGGTGTCTTCAGGCCCAGCAGGGCAGTTGGTTTCCTGTTCCCAGATTGGGGACAGACCTCCTAGCACAGCACGCCTTAGCTGGTGGTCTCTAGAATATTGATAAGGCAGAAGGACACAAGTTTTGCTTCAACCTCAGCCACACAGGAGGGCTGGAGGCTCCCTGTGCTGGAAGCTGGAGCTCAGCACCTCCTGCCACTCTCTGGACCTCTGCATCTCACATGTGAAACCCAGTGGGCACTGAAGGCTCCTTGCCCTATTACTTCACTTAGGCACAAAGAAATATTCTTCCTGCTTAACTTCAGCTGTGCTGAAAAGCTGAGTTCCATTTGCAGAGGTTTTGTAACCCAGGGAGGTACGAACCTGCTCACTTCTTCCAAAGGGCTGCAGAGAGGATGGCTTCAGGTACATGGTTATAAATGATTCAGCAGATGATTTGTGCTTTATCTTTTATTCAAACGACAACAAAGCAGCCAAACTACCCAGGGAGTGTCCCTGAAACGCAGGCAAACAGATGAAAACCCCTTTACACACTGAGAAGTGGGGGGCAATAACCTGTGTGCTCTTTGTGCTGCCAGCAGTGCCAAGCGTGTGTCAACAGAGGTGGGGTTTACAGCCAGCCAGCTTCCTCTTGGCCCCAGTATAAAGCTGCACAGAGCACACTCAGCTCCTCACTGTCCCATCTCCACCGGCGCCGACCTGGTTCCGTCCAGAGGACGCAGAGCACCATGGCCTTCTCCACCCGCAGCATCCAGCTGGGCTCCAGCAGCCGCCTGCAATCCTCGGCAGGGAGTGTCAGCGGCTTCGGCTCCAGGAGCTTGTCCCTGCAGAAGCTCCAGGCTCCCAGTGTCTATGGGGGTGCTGGGGGCTATGGCACACGCATATCCAGCAGCTCCAGCTACGGCCAGGGCCTGGCTGGGAGCCTCCAGCTCAGCGCCACCAGCAGCGACGTGCTGCTCTCTGGCAACGAGAAGACAACAATGCAGAACCTCAACGACCGTTTGGCCTCGTACCTGGAGAGGGTTCGCTCCCTGCAGAAGGCAAACGCCCAGATCGAGCTGCAGATCAAGGAGTGGTATGGGAAGAACAGTGTGGGCACAAGGCAGGACTACAGCTCCTACTTCACAACCATCGAGGAGCTGCGGAGTAAGGTAAAAGCTGATGAGCCCTCTGTAAATGGCAATGACAGGGAGACAGGCAATAATCTATTGCAGAAAATACACTTGCCCAAATCGCAGTTGTCTCAGCTAAGGTAAACAAATGCTTCATTTTGATCAGCTACAAATTAGTGACAGATCTTAGATAATTTGTAATATGCCTGAAGATATATCATACATGAAAAATCTTTGACTCAGAGTTAACTAATTCTGTTCTATTTGCCTTAGGTGATTTTAATTAGAGAAAGCACTGATGGTAATCTACATATTTAAATATAGTTTAGCATCTGTCAATTTCAAAGTGGGTTTTTTTTAGAAAAGAATGGCAAATGCTCAGGAAAAATAATAGATCACTACTTTAAATAGTAAATTACCACTGGAAACAATGAAATATTCCCAGCAATCAGCTGGCAGATTTGTCAAATTATGTTTCCAGAACTTCTTTCCATCTCTCCCCTCTCACTTTGCATCAGTTCTACTTCCCAGCCCTTAAAAGCAAATCCCTTCAGACAGCAATTCATCCCAACTATTTGATACACTTATTTTACGACAGCATAGTTTGCCTTCTGGAGATCCCCAGTTCCTTCCCTGCACTTCGGAGGGATCTGAGCTGGAACCAGACAGACAGCTGAGGTGCAGCAGGATGGAGGCCACATGCAAAATTCATGCCCAGAAATGGACCAAGTGCACATTTCAGTGCAAAGATTCACCTCTTGTCCCACATCCCCTTTAGATTGCTGATGCCCAGCTGGAAAATGCCAGGCTGGTCCTGCAGATCGACAACGCCAAGCTGGCAGCTGATGACTTCAGGCTGAAGTAAGTTTTATGATCATTTATCAGCTCTCTTTCATCTCCTCTTGTTCAAGAAAGCTTTGGTTATTGGCTCAGTGCTGAGAATGAATCATAGAATCACAGAATTTAGGGGTTGGAATGGACCTTACAGATCATCCAGTCCCAACCCCTGCCCTGGGCAGGGACATCTCCACACTAGATCAGGCTCCTCAAAGCTCATCCAGCCTGGCCTTGAACACCACCAGGGTCAGGGCAGCCACCACATCCCTGGGCAACCTGTGCCAGTGTCTCACCACCCTCACAGGAAAGAACTTTTTTCTCACATCCAACATAGACTTTCCTTCCTTCAGTTTGAACCCATTGCCCCTTGTCCTGTCCCTGCAGTTCCTAATACAGAGTCCCTCTCCAGCTCCTTGTAGGCCCTTCAGATGTTGAAAAGTTGCTCTGAGGTCTCTACACAGTCTTCTCTTTAACTTGTTTCAATGAAAATTTCACTCTGACTGTAACAGTTACCAACTCTAACATTTACCCTGAGCTGCTGCCTTTCAATGCTGACAAAGACACCTCACTGTGCAGGTTTGAGAACGAACACCTGCTGAGGCAGAGTGTGGACAGTGACACCTCAGGACTCCTCCGTGTTCGTGATGACCTGACTCTGACCATATCCGACCTGGAGTCCGAGATCGAGACCGTCAACGAGGAAATCATGTTCCTCAAGAAGAGCCACGAGGAGGTGAGAGCAGCTGAGCACTGCCAGGGAGAGGGTTTTCAGTGCAAACATAAACAGCCTCACTAGGAACCATGAAATCCTCAGGGTCCATGGTGGGATTCAGCTCCAGGTTAGCCCATCCAAACATACATACATAGCAGGAGTCAGGCTGGAAGGGACCACAGCGGGTCATCTGGTCTGATCACCCTGCTCAAGCAGGGTCATCCTAGAATACACTCTAAGGAACTGTGTCCAGACAGTTCCTGAGTGTCTCCTGTGAGATTCTACAACCTCTCTGCAATCTGTTCCAGTGCAGGTACCTGTTTATGTGTTATCCATGGGAATGCACCCATAGCTCTGTAACCAGCTGAGACAGTACAACAGGCACAGCCCAGAGAGGGACTCAGCTCCCTGCAGAGCAAAGAGCCCTCGGCTGGTCAGCTGGGACACTCACTGGTCTGTACTGGTTGTAACATGAGCTCTGGCTCACGCAGACACCCACAAGTTAGATCTGTGTACTCAGTGTCTCCTGGGAGTCTAAGCTCCAACTGAACCTCACCCCTAGTGTTTTCTGTACAGCTCCAAAGGCCTGTGAAGGAGAGTGTTACACACCCACTGCTGATTTCCCCTTTCCAAGGGGAATTTCATGGACTGAAATCCCAACTTCAAAATGACTGTGAACAAAATCTCCATTATGGCCTATTTCCAAGCTCTTCCTACTTCAAACATGTAAATTCCTTGTCACACTGCAGAAAATATGTTCTTTAAACACTGTACTTGAAAGATCCAGCCTAGAAAAACAACCAATTTATCCTCCCACTGGAAAATGCTGTGCAGAACTGAAGCATTTCTATCCTTGCTGGAAGCAGCACAACCATGTGTGGCACTAAGGGACATCCAGGGATCAGAGGCTGAACAGCTCCAGAAATGAAGGGGTGAAGGTTTTCTTTAAGAATAGCTTATGGTTTAGGAGTTGCTACCCCAAAAAGTACACAAATGGGAGCCACGACTTCTCCCCTCATTCCATAGATCTGACGCTGAGAAAACCACCTTTTTATCATCTCTTTATCTATGATGCAGCATTTATTGCTGTAAAATAAGTAAAAAGCTCTATCTAACATGAGGTGCACCAAACAGGATTTACAAGGTGGTTAAGTTGTCTTGCCCTGAGGTCCTCTTTAAGGATTGCTCCTATGTATTTGGGTTCTGAATTAACTCCCAATATCCAGGAGCGATGCTAACCCAATCCCAATTGCTGCAGGAACGTGACAGGCTGTGCAAAGCAGTGAGCGGCTCCGTGAACGTGGAGCTGGATGCTGCTCCCAGCGTTGACCTCGCAGGTATCATGGAGAAGATGAGAAAGGAATACGAAGAACTGGCAGAAAAGTATCGCCAAGAAGCCAAAGAACAGTTTGAAACACAGGTAAGGTCAATCGCTTCAACAGCAACGAGAGTCTCGGCCGTGCCTGGCTGCAGCTCACAGTCCCTCTGCTCTCACTCCAGATATCAGAACTGAACAAGGAGGTTGCCATCAATGTTGAACAGCTGCAGGTGCAAAGGAAAGAGATCACAGACCGGAGACACATCTTCCAGAGCCTGGAGCTGGAACTGCAGTCTGAGCTGAGCATGGTAAAGAACAGAGCACTGGAAAAGGGGTGTGGATAGCAGAGGGTTCCATGGAGAAACATAGGGATGAGAGGCTTTACAACTCAGATGTTATTCTAACACAGAAATTTGACCAACACATCTGTTCTCTCCATGGCCTGCAGAAGCAGACTCTGGAAGCCTCCGTGGCCGAAACAGAAGCTCGTTACAGCCAGCAGCTGGCCCAGATCCAGGGAGCAGTGGCCAGGCTGGAGGATCAGCTGAGGCAGCTCCGAGTTGA